GTGCTGCAGTCTGGCAGTGCTGCAGTCTGGCAGTGCTGCAGTCTGGCAGTGCTGCAGTCTGGCAGTGCTGCAGTCTGGCAGTGCTGCAGTCTGGCAGTGCTGCAGTCTGGCAGTGCCGCAGTCTGGCAGTGCTGCAGTCTGGCAGTGCTGCTGTCACCGCCGAAATATTGATGATAGGAATTGAAATTATTTCAGCCCATGAATGAGTTCAAGCTAATCGAGGTAAGGTTTTTAGTGTCGAACTTATGTTGAAGTTGTGATGTAACTCACGCATTGATTTCGACTACCTCACTGACAAGCATGTGTGTGTCTTACGCGCGTGGAGCTAAAATCAACTTTACCTCAATTCATACTAAATTTATGAATTTTTGGTTTTTCTCTCCTCATATTCTGCTGCCTGCGCTGTCTTCACTTCAACATCACCACTGACGCCTGCTACATCTCCACTGACGCCTGCTACATCACCACTGACGCCTGCTACATCACCACTGATGCCACTACATCACAACCGATAACGCAACAACATCTCTAACAACAGGCGGTCATTCTTCGCAAGGTGATTAGAGTTGTTATTAATATAATAGATAAAAATAGTTTTCACGCTGTCCTTTAGCTGCTTTTTAGATAACAAAGCCTTTGCTTCAGTTGACATGCTGCTGTTGCCTTCACTTTAGTTGACATGCTGCTGTTGCCTTCACTTATTTACATAGCGTAGTTCAGTGAGAGCGCTAACGTGTGTTGCTTGGTTGCAGTTACGACCTTCTCCTCCACCACCACCACGTCAACGCACGTCAATAAAGGTGAGTGTCATGTATGTTATGCATGATAAGTGGGTCATGTATGATGAGTGTGTCATGAATTATAATTCGTGTCATGAATGAAAAGCGTGTCATTGTCCGGTGTCATTCTGAGGCCGGATTATCAAAACTTCGTAACTTTTTATACTTACGTATAAAAAGATACGTGTTGCTTGAGTACTCCCTAATTCTGGCATTATCAAAACTTGCGTACGCAAGACTTATCTGAAAAGCTATTATCAAACCTCGTTGCACATCAGCCAATCAGAAGCTCGCTTACATCCTTTGCTTACATTATGTGTCATCAAACACCGCGTTTCTGTGTTCAGTTATTTGAACATTTTTAGATTTTTTAAAGATTCCTAGACGCTGTTACTCTAAAAAATGAATGACAAATGCCGTTTCAAGTATTAATGATTAATATATATTATATAGCTATTAATATTTATAGATTACTGATTAATATCTATAATCTATTCATTGTCTAGCACTACCAATTGCTCGTTTTCTATCAGTATCTACTGAGAAAGAATTCATTAGATGCATTACTAATATAATTCCTTAGATATTTTTCTAGAAAAAAATGAGAGGATTTATCTTGAAATGATACCACAGTCTAAACACTAGTGACTAAATGATAAACAATCACTTCACCCGTTCAGAAGCTGTGCGCAACTCCACTTACGACACCTCCGAGAAAGCGTAAGGCTTAAAGTTACGCACAACTTCTTGTACGTAGCTTCCCGCGCAAATAACATAACATAACATATTGATCTCGGCGATGAAGTGTAGGCCTGATGTGGCCTGTCGCCGATTCTTTTTTTTCAATACCACCGCTAGAGTTACTGTTGCGGGAGAGGGGGCAACACATATGGGCTACCCCAACGGGATAGTTAGAAAGAATGAACAAACTATATAAATGAAAGCATGAACTATATATTTAATGAACAATGTATAAAAATGAACAAGCGAATCCATGAGAAGTACATTAGTAATAATCTTAGGTAGCTATCAGACGGTAAACGAATGGTTAAACATTGAAGAACATTAAATTTGGCTGGGTACATCCGCAAGGTCATCGGTGTTGTCGCCGAGAGGAAGGCAGTTCCGCGAAGATAGAAAAGTCAAATCAAAGTGTGGGAATCTAGCGGAGGAGCGCAGTGCTTGCCGAGATTGCAACGGGGCTCTGGTCCAACGTTGCCGACAAGTTGCAGCTTCCTTCTACGCTGTTCGGCGAGTGGGAGAGAAATGTTCAAATCATCGACCAAGTCCTGGCGACGTACAGTGCCGGAAGCGTTACCGCCTTGAGACTAGCACTTTAGCTCCGATTGCCTGCAGCCGCACCCGTCCATGGCCGACGAATGAAGTAACCAAAATACAAGAACTTGGTTTTGAAGGAATGGTTGACAGCAGCATCGGACTGGATCTGAGGAACTTCCTTGCCGACCCATTACCGCGTCCTGCCACGCCCGTCCAAGCAGGCGGCTCAATCGAGAGTGAGCCAACCCCGGCTCAGGTCCAATTTCAGCTCCGAGTAATGCGTCGGAAAGAAAGAAAGAAGAAGAGCGCGAACGACAGAAAGTCGGACGGCTACATTACGTCTTCATATAGCAACACTTACGCAACACGTAAGTCGTTACGTGTACTTAGCGATGTTTTGATAATCCGGCCCCTGGCGTCTCATTATATCCCTTATAATTGTATTATAAGATATGATCATCTGTCATTGAGATGTAATATTCACTTGACCTGATAGAGATTGATGGAAATGTACTAAACATTAGTCAGCGTCTGGAGAACATTACGTGAGGACCTTAATTAGTAATGCCCTACAGAAGCCCACAAGCGCGCCGCGATGTAACTTGCGTTAGAATTACTCCGACCTAACGGTCGACGCCTTAGCTTTACCTGTATCGTATTACGTCAAGTGAATATTACGTCTCAATTACAGATGATCATATCTTGTAAATTAATTATAATGAATATAATGAGACGCAAGATTGACACCGAACATCATGTATGATGAACGTGCAATGTATGAGAAGTGTTTCATATAAAAGTTTGTCATGCATGTGTGATTAGTGTGTAATGAATATAAAGTGTGTCATGTTTGGCAAGTAAGTCATGTGTGGTGACTATGACGCACTTATTCCGGTGCTGTATAATGAATTTTTCAATATCACATGCATGACAATGAGTGAAGTTGTCGTAAATTCCATTACAATTCTGCGGCACGCATCTGACGTATTTGTTTGATGACAGTGTCGGGAAAATAATTAGTTTTATTAATAAATAATCAATAGATATTGAATTAATTATTAACAGATAATAATTGTTCATCATCAGATAATAATTATAAGATAATAAATAAATTATCAACAGATAATAAATTAATTTTGAAGTCCAGCTTTTCCTCACCACGTAAGCATGTAATCGTCCTTCAAATCATACACTTTACCAAACAAATTATTCTCAGTAAATAAGCATTTAAAATAATTATAATTAACATAGAATAAATATGAAATAAAAAACAACAAATCATCTTAAACTACTACCCTAACCGTGCGTTTCAGCATTTAATCCACTTTTCACTTTATCCACAAGTTTCAAGTTCAAAACGTCAAGAAATCGAGGCCTTCCGCATATAAAAAAGAAAAAAACATTTTAAAAATATTCAACTGAATAAGATGAGCATAATAATGAATGAAAGATACACGAAAATAATCAACATAACACGACACGATTCACTTAAAATTGAATCATCACAAATAATATCACAGTGATTCCTTATAGACACGCACCTCCTGGGAAGATCACCCAATATAATGAATGAAAATTAAAACATTACTACAGTAAGAAAGCCTATGTTTAAAGCAATATACCAACATACGACCTGACGAACCAAAATCAAAGTGAAGGTTTGTGTGTACGATTGTATGTGGTAACTTGTGGCCGCCAGTACTATAATAGCCACAATTATGTGCTTTTACTGGTAACTATAGGCTTATACACAATGCAAATTGATAGTGTGTCGCCAGTGTGTGTATTTATTAGACTACGAATGACTGATTAGATAACAATTTCTTTCTCAGGCATTATTATTTCGCATATCAGACAACCCAAACTGGAGATTCCATCTTGAATACCACCAATCAATCATCAGTGTATTATGACTTTTATCCGTATGGCCCTGCTTAAAAACAAGTCTTAATAATGATTGTTTATCCGTCAGATTTTGTGACGTATCTAAATTTACACTATGTTATAGGTATGCACTTTGTACAGTGAGTGGGTCAGTGTGAACCACTTGTGGAGTTAACGATAACTGAATTTTTATACGCATTATTTGTAGTGTTGGTCATTGTGATCTTATTCTGCTTTTAATTGTCATTCAGAAGGACCAATAAAACGATAAGCGTGCTGGAAAAGTTTGTTCATTTACTGATTAGCCTTAAACTCGTTCAAATGAGTCTTCCTGACTCAATCATTTCTATAAGTGCGTTAACTAGCTAAGTGAGTCAAAACTGACTCATCTTTGTTGTCGCAGGTGTGTCACCTTTCAACAAGTTCCAGCAGCTGGACGCCCAGCAGCACACCACACGCCGGGCTAGGTGGGTACCTGCTTGCTTACTAACAGTTTTTCCTTGTCTATATCTTACCATTATTATTAATATAATTTATCAATATTATCTTATTTATATTATATCAAAATATAAAATAAAATATTATATCAAAAGTATATATATTATCAATATATATTCTTTTGCTATTTATATCGTGTGCGAAATCCTGTTCGAAATCATGTATTCTATGTCATCTTTATAATGAATTCTTTGTTATGATTTATATTATTGATAGAGAGATTAAAGCTTGCTCCGTACGGCAGCAGCTAATGGTGATGTAAGCTAAATAGTGCGTGTCATAATGCTGCTGGTTCGGAACCATGTCGCTATATGATCCGTAAATTGGTGAAAAAAGGCTGATATGTGATCTGTAAATTGTCAAAAATGGTTTTCTTTGATTTGCAAATTGGTAAAGAGGTCGATATTTGATCGGATCGATGTTGATCTGCTGACAATTGGGTCACATGTGCAACATGTGTCACTTTCCCTCTGTCTAAAAGTGACAGTTGAACTAAAGTGCTCACACATGACGGTTATGTTGTGTGTTCTGTATAGTTCTGAGCACGTTGACAATTAACACGTACTATTTTGTGCGTTAGAGGCACAGTTATTGCAGCTTCTTCTCACAGAGTGTATGTCAAGGTATTTGATTCCTTATTATACTTGATGAGTACCATTTATATTACCAATAAAAAATATTAGGAAAGAATATTTCACACTTGCCTGAGCTGAGGTTTTTCAGAACCCATTTCGTGCATCAAGTTGCGTTTGCTAGGCAACGGGACAGTTAACCCGATTGTTTTGCGAAACTTGTGTGCGTAATAAGGGAAGACGCACGACTCGGAGACGGAGGACGACGAAGGCGGCGCATCAGCGTGACCGGGGACTAGGAAGTCCTGAACTCATCATAAGGTCATAAGGTCATAAAAGGCATCATTATCATCATTATTATAATGGTTCAAATCTTTATTGAATGATTATTTTCTTGATTATTGTACTATATTTAGATCACTACTCCGGCATGACTCATTCAACGGTGTTTGCTACATAAGAGATTTGGAGAGAATACCACATTGAGAAAATGTTTATCGTTGCTTTATGAAGGAACATTTCTTCTTGACGAAGTTTGATATCAACATGTTGAAGCCTGGCCTGCACTGGGGAATAGTGTTGGTTTCAAGATTTAGGTTATCAATTTCCGCTTTATAGTATCTCAACTAGTGATGGTACAAGGTGCGTATCTTATGTACGCATATTTAATAACTGGGATACGAATCCCGGTTATTTTACTCGCAAGTGAACAAATATTCGTTAGCTATCACGACGATTTACAACGAAGATATGTGGATAATCTTGTCCTAACTGTTATTCGTACCTGAATCCAATTCATATCGGCTACTTAGGCTTGATCTACACCATACTGCCGGGCATGGACCAGTCACCGTCCAGTCCGATATTTTTAATGCATTTCTATAGAATTATTCGCACCAGCCATGCAAGGCACGGTCCAGTCACGATTAAGGCAAAAGATATTTGTACTTTGACGTGATCACAGCTGTAAATTTTTTTTGTCGAGTATACCTGATGGTAAGCTAAACATACCAGATTTTAGCACAAATCCCAGACCTTTAATATCTATACCAACTATCATATCAGCATACCAGATTCGTGAAATATGGTGTGAAAATGTACAAGTTGGAACGCTGTGTGACTAGTACGGCATGTGATATGAAGGGAACTGATGGGAGGACGGCCCTTGACCGCACAAAAAACTAATAATGAACATGTAATAATGAATACCAATAATGAACATGTAACGAATGACTAATAATGAAAATGTAAGTGCAATTGGCAGGGAACGTAGCGTGACTGGCATATGCCCGGCAGTATGGTGTGAATCTAGCTTTTCACTTCTATCCTTACCTAAATTGTTATCCTCTTCACTGCTCATGATAATGAGTTGACGGACTGCTAATGAGCTGTGCTGTCTGCAAATGAGTTGCTGGTCATGATAATGAGTTGCTGGTCATGATAATGAGTTGCTGGTCATGATAATGAGTTGCTGGTCATGATAACGAGTGGATGGTCTGCTAATGTAATTCCTACGTGAATGTTAGTTGCAGTACAGTCACAGTGTAACGTCTCCTCCCTCGCTACAGTCCTCACATGCCACCCGCTCTCAAACTCTCCACAGTCAAACAAATTCTCCTTGACTTCTGTAAGAGAAACACCAGCGAATATGTTCACAAGGTATAGTTCCTTAGCTGGTTCCCTTCATTAGTTTCTTTCTCCAGCTCCCTTCACTTGTTCCCTTCAATAGCTCTTTTCACCAGTAGCTTTCATCAGTATATTTCACTAGTTTTTTTTTCAATAGTTCAGTAGTCCTATCAACGCCATTTGACTCTGCACCGATATTTAAGACGACGCTATTCAATTTATTCGATGTAACGTATTGAAAAAGAGCTTCTTAGTTACATTAAGTTAGCTTCGGCATTCTTTTATGTCACCCTAACTCGACAAAACGTAATCACAGTCTGTCATGCATTACTGCCATTGAATGTGCAGCGAGTTGAGAAATAAAAAACATTGTAGACTTTTGGGGCATTGGCGGTAGTTGCTTTCTTTACTGCCTGTAATAATTGTTATTTTTTCTAATTGCGACTATTAGTTCGTTCCTCTAGCTGTTTTCAGTAATTATTTTCACTAGTCCTTCGCATTACTTCTATTCTACTACATTTCGTAGATATCTCTTCTTAAATCTCTACAGCACGTAGTAAATCTCAATTGCACTACCTAAATTTTCTACTGCACCACGTAAATATGAACTGAACTACGTAAATCTCTACTGCGCTTTGTAAATCACTAATGCTCTACGTAAATTTCAACTGCACTTGGAATGTTTCCACTAGTCTCTTTAATTTCATCCACTGCATTCCATGAACTCGAGCCACAATTCATTTCTTTTTAAAACACTTCACTAGTGTTCCTTCTTCTCGCTAGGGGCTGGGTGGCCCAGTGGTTACAGTTCAGAGTGCCAAGATTGGCGCAGAGAGGCGCGGGTTCGATCCCAGCTCTGTGCGCCAGTTTCTGGTCAGAATCGGCGAGGAGGCCAGGCGGTTAAGCACAGCAGGATATTGTAGCAGTGAGTTGCGAGTTCGAGACCGCAAAATGCTGTGAATGTTCTGCGATGTTAAGAATCTGCGACAGGCCTACAGCCTAATGAACGCTGAATCGCTATATATATTATTATATAGTGTTCCCGCACGCAGCTCTGTCTGTACACCTGTTCAGTGAAATACCGTGAAGACAAAATTAGGCTTGTATGTGTAAATAAACTTTGAGTATCAAATTCATTGTATTTATTCTAAATAGTTTGCGATTGTATCTACTGGTATTTGCGGGAATAAGTCAAGAATTTGTAGCAATTAGCAAAATATTATAGCAATAAGTGTAGCTTTTGTAATAATTTGTAGCGCTTTGTACTTATCAGAGAAGAAATGCCCTATACTTAGTCGTATATTTTTGAATAATAATAATTGTATCCAATGATCGACCTGTTTTGAGGATTTCCATCCCTAATTAATTTATTCGTGGATTTGTGATCTTTTATCGATCTTTTTCCCGAATTTGTGTCCAATTCTGAATTTTTCGCCTTGGGCAATCCCGATGTGATTCCTTTGCTCTGCATCGTCTATGTTAGCATTGTTTAAAATCAGTACCGACTTGCAGCAGCTCAGAGAAGCGCATGCATTTCTTTTATTACTCGTTTCAATTTCGCTGCCATCAAAAGCTCGCTCTGTACATCATGGCTTATTTCTTCCATGGGCCTATTTCTTCAACGCCGACACTTCTATTCTATTCTATATCAAACTCCCCTGCGGCTCCATCTCATTAGAGACAGCGGGCAGTTCAATCGCACTTATGCACTTTAGGGAGCAGAAAATTAGAGCACATGTTTGCTGATTAATTGCGCACTTAGTCATGTCGCTCCACTTCTATTGCGTATTTGAGGTTAAATTATTAATCACAATTTGGAAGAGCCAGAGGGTATTAGGATGAATCGCGTTCTGCTATTTTTAGCGCATTTTTTTCATTTATGGAAAAAAGGCGCTATTGTGCTCGTTATATCCGTCCGTCCGTGACTTCACGTCACGGACGGACGAGAAAATGCGCTCACTGTCACGCACTGCAGTGAGTACTGATCTAATTTTTTGTGATCACGTGTGGACACTCGAAAGCGACACTCACAATTGAGTTTTTGAAGAGAGCTCATGTTTTCCGTGTCTGGCACCGTCGCTCCGATACCACTTCTCAGTCTATCCTTAAAATGTTATTATTAAGTATTAAATATAATATAGCTGTTGTTCTTTGGGACCTGGTGCCTACGCACGCCGGAAAAGCGGCTCAGGTGGCAGGAGTGGAAGAGCTGTCGGAAGAAAGGGTAGGCGGTCAAAAAAAGAAAGATGAACGGCAAGAAAATGAGATACCTGAGGAGGCATTTATAGGGAAGAGAATTCGAGAGAATAAAAGAAAGCGTTTTCAGACTCTTAAGGAAAAGGTAGAGCCGGGAGGTTGAACCTTGACAGTTCGGCTCGACTCATTCGCTCGCTAGAAACTCGGTCAATGGCGCCGGCCGGTTTACTCCCACGACGCAGATGCTGCAAAAATCCTGGGCATCAAGCTTTATCAACATCGAATAATTTATTATTTCAAATAATAATGAACCAGTGTCCAATATTACCCACCATCGCACATGATAATGGCTTACAATGACCACCAATGACCTGTGTTGGCCGCCTTGCAGCGGGGCAGGTGGAGGCGGTGGGCCGCTGTTCGCGCTGTCATCAAGTCTTAAGAGCAGCGCCAACAGCATCAAGGAGGTGCTGCTGCAGTGGTGCCAGTGCCGCACACGCGGCTATCAGGTGCACATGCTTGGTGCTGCTGTCCCTGTCCTGCATCACCCTGCTCATGTTTTGCATTATGTTGATGATGTGTGCCGCGTTGATGTTTCGCATCATGCTGATGGTTTTTGCATCGTTTACGTTTTATATAATGTTGGTGGGTTTGCCACGTTGATGTGTTGCATCATGTTGATGGTGTTTGCATCGTTTACGTTTTATTGATGGTGTTTGCCACGTTGATGTGTTGCGTCATGTTGATGGTGTTTGCATCGTTTACGTTTTGTATTATGTTGATTGTGCGTGCATCGTTGATGTTTTGCATCATGTTAATGATGTGTGCCACGTTGATATTTTGTATAATGTTGATGGTATTTGCCACGTTGATGTGTTGCATCATGTTCTTGGTTTTTGCATCGTTGATGTTTTGTATAATGTAGATAGTGTTTGCCACGTTGATGTGTTACATCATGTTGATGTTGCCCATCATGTTGATGCGTGCTCTGCATGAAGGCCTTGCTACGGCCGCGCATCTTGGACATGCATATATCTCTTTTTTGTGTGCCCTCCTGCGCGTAGTTTTCGCTGTGTTCGTTTGTAAACTTGTCTTACTCACAATTAATTTTGGTGTCAATTTCGACTTTTCGTATCGCACTTGAAACTTTATTTTGAAATATTTTTCGGTGTTCCCTTAAATGCGAGTCGTTTTAAACATTAGGCTACGTGCAAAGGCAGATCCAATATTTGTTACAGCATTTCATATCGAGTAATAGTATTTTCAGTACAACGGTGTACCTCTACTAAACCTTTTAAAATTTTAACAGAGATCACGATAAAAATTGTTCGCGTATCTGAACGTGACATTTTAAATTGGAACAAGAGCAAGCCAGTCTCGCTGCCCTCTTCAACCGTGAACTCGTCGCCTTCCTGTTCTTAATATTTATGCCCATCAGTTCAAAATTAGATAACAATGCTTTAATTTTCGAAATTTAAACAACAAAAGAAAATGATCGACTTGGAATTACAAATTTGTTATCCGTGGTAAGCTTTCAGACGTAACAGTCCCAGGCCACGCTTCTGGCCCTGCCTCGGTATTCCGGCGCCGGTAGACAGGCCGCCCTCGCCTCCAAGGTCCCGAGGGGAGGGCAGGTTTAAAAACATGTTTAATCAACAGATTTTTAATCAACGCAATAACGTGTTTAATCTCGGATTTTGTAATCAACGCAAAAAAATTGTTAATCAACGGATTTTTTAATCAGCGCGAAAAAACATGTATAATCAGAGGATTTTTATCAACGCAAAAACATGCCCATAATCAGAGGATTTTTAAATCAAGGCAAAAAGCATATCTAATTAGAAGATTTTTTAATCAAGCAAAAACATGTTTAATCAACGGATTTTTCTCCTTCCAAAAGTATCGCATGATTTTGTTTAACTGTTACTGCTGTTGTTGAGGTTTTGTTACGCTGTGATGTTGATTATATATTCACATTTCCGTTGCATCGATGTTGGTAATGGTGATCTGCTCGTATGCGTGGATACCCCTCCCCTCTTGTAGAGAGGGGACTGTGGCAAAATAAAAGACGATAGTCTTTTAATTTTGACGATAGTCTTTTAATTTGCCATCGCGTTTACATGAAGATGATTATATGAATAACATTTTTGTCCTGCAGACCTGCACGAAATAAGTTTTTTATGCGTTTTTTGTACACCGCTTTGATTTTAATCCATCCCTTTTGAAATTATCAAGTTTTGAAAAGCTGGGCTGTTATACCGGCGGCATGACAATACATTTTTTTGTGTTTTAACATCGCCTTCGTTGCTTGTAGATCGTAATCGCATGTTGTACGTGTTGCTTTGCCACAGTATGCATAATTTTTTGTATTTATTTTCGTGGAGATGCATCAATTATGGACGTGTACTTTATAATGTCTAGATGTGCACTCCCCGCGGTTGCGTTGAGCCTCACTCACAGTTCTGGGAGGGGGAAGCGATGCTTGTAGTTAGTTTGTGCTTTTACGACTTAATTGCATATATCAATAATGTATAATTTAACTGACCTGAAAATCTCTACATTAGTGCATATGATAATCAAGTAAAGTCGTTGCTTTAAGTTAAGTCAACTGTCTCCGTTGTTACTGGCCATTTCTCTTCACATTCAGCAAGTTGATTGTGTTGCTGTTACCTAATATTTTATTTTGTTGACTGATGATATACGAAAAAAATACAATTGCATGTTATGTGTTTCGTTCGTTTGCTCATTTATTCTCTGATTTATTCATTGGATGATTTATTTCGCCAGTATACTTATGAATTTGGGGATTAATCAACGGATCATAAGCTCATGTAATTCTCCATGAATACTTTTTTTATGGAACTTTCTCACATTCAGAAGTAATTCACATTAATGAATTATTCATGCAATTCATACCTCATTAATATATAATAATATTAAAACATAATTAATTTTCTAGGGAGTGAAAATCGAGAACTTCAGCACGAGCTGGAACGACGGGCTGGCTTTCTGCGCGCTCATCCACCACTTCTACCCCGACGCCTTCGACTTCGACAAGCTGGACCCTAAGAACCGTCGTCAGAACTTCGACCTGGCCTTCAGAACTGCAGAGTGAGTCATGGCATGGCCTTCAGAACTGCAGAGTGAGTCATGGCGTGGCCTTCAGAACTGCAGAGTGAGTCATGGCATGGCCTTCAGAACTGCAGAGTGAGTCATGGCGTGGCCTTCAGAACTGCAGAGTGAGTCATGGCGTGGCCTTCAGAACTGCAGAGTGAGTCATGGCGTGGCCTTCAGAACTGCAGAGTGAGTCATGGCATGGCCTTCAGAACTGCAGAGTGAGTCATGGTGTGGCCTTCAGAACTGCAGATTGAGTCATGGTGTGGCCTTCAGAACTGCGACGATTCATATCCCTCTGCCTTCACTTCACTGGGAAATTTAGTTCTGAACTTTTTCTGAATTGATGTTTTTATTTTCAATTAAATAATTTGAAATGAATAACTCTGCTCTAGACGCAGCAATTTCGCTGATCAGAACGAATATTTTTATGATATAAATGCCTCTCTTACGCGTGATTCGTCGCCGACGAAAAGAATAAGATTTGGGTATCCTTTATGTCGATTAATTTAATAATCATTTGTTTTTAGATTAATTGAGATTTGTTTTGAGATTTGCCGTGGTTTGTTTTGAGATTTACTGTGATTTGTTTTGAGTTTGAATGAAATTTATTTTAGACTTACTGAAATTAGTTTTGAGATTTACTAAGAATGGTTTTGAGATTTGTTTTGAGATTTACTGAGATTTATTTTAAAATTTACTGAGATTTGTTTTAAGATTTACTGAGATTTGTTTTTAGATTTATTGAGATTTATTTTGACATTTACTGAGATTCTTTATAATATTTACTGAGATTTGTCCTGATTGCAGTGAGCGGGCTGGAGTGATGGCGCTGCTGGACGTCGATGACATGGTCATGATGAAGAAACCTGACTGGAAATGTGTCTTCACTTACATACAAAGTCTTTACAAACGCCTCAAGGATGAATAAATGCTCAAATCTTTTAAACTAACCCTTGCAAACCACAAAATATTAGACAATATAACAGCATCATTTTCCTTTAAAGATACGTAGAGGTAATTTTATATACGAGTGCCATTGCAATTTTCAATAAACATATGATATTAAATTATTTTAGCCGCAGTTTATCAATTAATTTCTATTTTTTATTGAAATAGTATCTTTGAAAGATCTAAATTTTCTCTATTTATCTTTAATCTTCGCACGCAAATGTTATTCAAATCATGCAATCACTGCAACATAAGTATATCTTCACAATTCAATCACCCCGCTTAATTGTGATATAATATGAAACAAAGAAACATATCACGAAAATGCAACAAAGGAACAAAAGACGAACACAAAACACAATAAATATAACACGAACACACAACACAATAAATATAATACGGTCATAGTTCACTTCTCCAGCGCCAGCAGCCAGCGTACTTCTGTTAGGTGGACAGCCTTCATATCGGTGGTTTGGACGTCTGTCCTCCATATTCTGTGATGGCCAGTCGACCAGCCTTCATATCGGTGGTTTGGACGTCTGTCCTCCATATTCTGTGATGGCCAGTCGACCAGCTTTCATGTCGGTGGTTTGGACGTCTGTCCTCCTGATCCCTGATGGTAGCGTGTCGAATTTGAGGTCCAGCTGCCGTTAGATTTTTTTATTGACGGTTGACGTTACTGCTAGTCTGTTTTATTGACAGCCCATTTGACTGATAGTCTGTTTTTTATTGACGTTTAACTCACTGATAGCCTTTTTTGTTGACGGTTTGCCTCACTGATAGCCTTTTTTGTTGATGGGTTTCTTTACTGAGAGTATGTATTATTGACAGTCTGTCTATCTGATTATCTATCCTATTGACGTTTGATCGTTAGCCCCAGTGAGGGAAAATCTTAACTTTATTCTGTAGAATTGACAGTAAATCTCACTGACTCCGTCTTGCTGATTTTGTCCGACGTTTACTATTGATCCAGCTTCATAAAACGCTCGATCGCTGCGACATTGTGCCGCTGAATTCAACTTGTGTTGGATGCATCGACACAACCCGCCTCTAGTGAGGCTTGCTCCCCTCTGTAACTGAATCTCTTCGTTCACAAAATGTTCTTCGATTGTAATAAAAAACTTAGAATCTTTTCTTTTCCTTTGGTGACAAAAGCGATCGTAATCATATATCGCTCGGTTCCCAAAGGCTGTAGTAGTTCTAATATCTTGTGCCAATACTCGCTGCTCATTGACTTAGAGTTATAATTAGTGTCATTTTAAACATGGAGTTTAATATTTATTAGTATTTATAAAAGGATCGTCAATAGATTAGTAGTTACTTCGACCGAGATGGGAGATCGCCGTTGACGTCGCCATATATGACGTCTCGTCAATATCTGTATGCTTCATAATAATGATTTTGTTCCTGACGATATAACGTCTATTGTAATGTGCTTATGCTGCTTCACACCTATACTAATAAGTAATGATAATACTCTTGTAATTTTAGTGCAATGGGACCAATTTTTGTAATTGATATTCACAGGTTAACGTGGCTTGCAGGTTAACGCCGCTGATGCTTGTTCACTTCTCTTAGTTATATATCATATATCCTATTGTTCTAGTTAGGGCCTAAATGTTTATCTAGTTCTACTAACTCCTGAGTTTTATCTGTAATAGTAAGGTTGAGTTTATTTCATGTGCTGAACTATGCCATTAGCAGCAACGATAAGAATGTGATTAATTAATTAATTATCAATGTTACCGTCGAGTTGTTGACGTTTGTGAACTGATGTGAATTTTATGAGCGCCTGGAACGACGCTCCTCGGGCGGTTTAAGTCTAAGGCCATCAGTCTACGTGTTTGAATATCAAAGAAATTAATAATTGTATTAGCTTTTAAAAGAATATACGCCATGTTAGCGTAATTTTTATGTTAGCCCTAGGGATGAAACCGACAAAACGTTATGAAACAGCAAACGAGGATAACAGTGACCGCTCTTTGATAGCTTCGGTTTCTACTCAAGGATAATCCTCCGAATGCTGTTATTTTCATTTCCTTTCGTTGTTTTCGTGCCTAGGGTTTTATTTTATGCCCGCTGCCATACAAAAATTCATTCAGGTAAATTTACAGGCTCTCAAGTGACACTTTATACCCTTTGTGTTCGAAGCCTCCACCGCGCAACCTGCTTCGGCTCGTTGGACTGAGTTCTGGTTTGGACGTAGCACCATTTACGCTCTGATATTCATACGCTCAAGTAGCTTGACAACAAATTCATCGTTGACCTATGATTTATTGGTCTTTAAATCATATGAATCATACATGATTGGTTGTTGTTCGGTTACTAAATGAGCGGTTTGCTTATGTTGTGTTGCTTGTAACTTCACACGCCGCCTGTCACTATAAAATATAATTTGTAATCACGTAAAATATGACTTGTATTTTGATTTATATCCTTCTATGCACATACTGGCTTCCTGCTGATGTTAAAGTGTTAGTTTTGTGTCAGTAAGTATTGATGTGAAACCTTCGTACTTTGAAGATGCAGGATTCATATAAAATTTCAATCTCCTGTATTCTTGTCTTTCACGACATCCTCAGAAGATATCCTCACGTCTCTATACATGCTAGGTTCATGGTTCAACTAATATATTAGGTATTACGTATTAGGTCAACCATGTCTCCCGAAACTGCCGACATGACAGTGGTTAAGACCTAATTGCCTGACTCTCTCGCCTGAAGCGCTCGGTTCGCTTGTGCGTAGACTAATTCCTATCAACAAAAAATACTTAATGACGTAAATGCTTTCATTCATATTAAGGGATAGCGCATCATCATAAATTTTTACCAGCTCGCTCGCCAATCGTGATTGACGAGCTATCGAAAAACTGCACAAAACCGCGAGTTCACCTAAGGCAGATACGAGACTACAATTTGCATGAGACCGAGGAATAAATTATTTTTCTGTGGTCGCCGCATGAGAAAGAAGATGAAGTTGTCTAATATATTTTCTTTCCACTGCTTGGTAATTCATGGAATTTCGGGTCAGTGTCTAATTACTGGCTTACATTAATGCTAGTGGGTCGAATAGACAAATAACTATCGGAGTCATTGTGAATGAGCAATTGTTTAATTTCAAGAAAGCATAGAATAATTAACAACAAGGAGGAATTAGATCTCTTGTCGTAGAATTGCATTGTGCTTGAGTCCTATATGATCAAAATTAAGCGTATTTAATACCAAAAATTGTTCAAGCAGGATATATATGAATTGAGGGTGCAATTTAAATTGCTTGTGCCAGTTTTAAGACGCGATTATTTGAGAAAAAATTATTGATTAACACATAGTTTACTCATGTAAATCCTTATCAAAGGCGAGTCTATGTTAACCACACAAAATTTATCTAAAAATTTTTCTTAGTCGTTTAATTATAGAAAACGAATTCACAAAATGATAATAAGCGCAGGAAGTTTTCATATGTTGACTTGGTTGCGAGAGTTTATTTACATTTTCAGGAACTTCAACCATCAAATGTCCTGGATAGAAATATTCTAACCTGTAATTTGTTTTCAATATGAAAAAATTGAACTATATACTGCATTCCGAATCCTTCTTCAACTACATAGGTACATATTTATAGCCAACATCGTACATAAAAAAATAGAAATTTCGTTTTTAATTTGTAACACAATACCTTATATTCTTAACTATTCCAAAAGTTTATATATTGAGCTAAATTTCCTCTGTAGAGTTACAAAGATAACAATGCAAGAAGTATATCGTGTTGCGTGACTATTTGCGATAGTACTGTTCCACGTAGTGGCCAATTCATTGGTCGGAGCAGCGTTGGCGTCATTTGAATTAGCTCCTCAGTGCTTGTGTGGTGCCGGTATCGGTATTGTAGAATTGTGGCTCGTGTGGTTTGGTACTTCGATAAAGCTGCAATCATGAAGATTATTGCAGTTTGTGCTGTCGTTCTGGTTATTTTTTCACTATCTAGAAATGCCGATGCAAAAAAAGGCCCCAAAGTCACACATCAAGTGAGTAAAATTATGTCCGTCTAAACTGTCTTGAATTACTAAAAACTTGATATTTAATTTTGTAGCTAGGTATGACTTCGGACATTTAAAGTATTCTTAGCTACCTGAAAAGTGGAGACCTTCAATCATCTTCATAGCATTATTAGCCCTACTCCTACACCTACCTAGGCTAAAGCAAATTTGGTTAGACACTTAGAGTAGACTTGTTTATCTGGATTTTTTCCTGATGTTGTATAATAGCTAGTGGAACAAATTTGCTTGTTTAGGTGGTCCACAAAAATTCTAGGAAAAATGTGCAGTACAGTTTAACTTAATTATTATTATAGGTATATTCTGAATTTCTGATAGTGATAGTGACTGATAGGTGTAAGTGTGACTGCGCGGACTGCGTGTGCCGTGCAGCCCGTGTGGTAGGGTTGTTCACGGTGGTTGCTCCTGCCCAATTTTCCAGTTTGGCTCAGAAATTGGCTGCAGCCTGCCAGGAATCAGGAATGGGTGTGGGACTGGGCCACAGCGCCCATGGGCCACGGCCGGATGGCCCCACAGGCCACAGCAACCCATGAATGAGACAAAAATACTTACAAATAGGGTAAATGTGGTATATTCCAACATCGTGGGTAATTCTGACACCTCTCTAGTTTTTCCTTTATATTAAGCTTTGTTTTAGTTCCATGCGTTTGTTGATGGTTGAAATAGTGACGTCATACATTTGTGCGTCAAACTACTGCCAAAACACGAAGTCTGGGCCATCTAGCGGGAAAATGTTGAGATCCAAAGAGAGACGGTGCATGCCACCCAATGAGATCATCGAAAAATGTGTCAAAGTTGACAGTTGACTTTGCTCTACCAAATAGTGACAAACTGTTTGTGTAGAAAGAATATTATGGTTTGAGACTTTTAAATACATCTGTGAATATATTAGGAATCCTTTAAGTATACTTGTAGGGTAAACGCGGTATATTCCAACATCGTAGGTAATTCCGTCACCTCTCCAGCTTTTCCTTTATATTAAGCTTTGTTTTAGTTCCATGCGTTTGTTGATGGTTGAAATGGTGACGTCATGCATTTGCGAGTCAAAATACTGCCAAAACACTAGGTCTTGGCCCATGGTGGCAATCCATAGGTTATTCAAAAGAACCTGTTCTTATGTCATTTTGAACCGATCCAACGCTTCTTTACGGACCGATCGTAAAACACCTTCACCGGCAAAAGCTTTTGCACTTCTGAAGAAAGTCAGCTGACAGCTACACTGGCCGTGGGGCGTGGTGGACCGAATTTGAGTTCTAATTCAAAGCCATGTTGTATCCCAATACAGCTCACACAGCAAACGGAATTCAAACACGTGGATGTCGGCAATACGTATCAGTTAAATTTGAAGCGCTGACGCAATACGACTCACCACGTGTCAAATATTGCCACACAAAGTGACGGAATCATAGTGACAAACCAGAGATTTTTTAGAATCCGTTCATTTTTAATTTCCTCATTTGCCAAAGATTCAAACCAATTTCTTATGTATGGTGGTGCTGGTATCCAGGATACTTAAGTAGTCTACGTATAGGACTCAAAAATGAACTTGAGGAGAGTCTAAAAAACTCTCTGCTTTGCCACTATGGACGGAATATAGGGATTTGGTAGGTTTCCATTCTAAAGGCTTTTTAATAAATATGGCAACATTTTGTGACGTTTCATTGTTGCTGATGCGTAGTGAAGTGTTTTGAGAGTCATGTGAATGCAACAGAACTTACGTAACGCATACATTTTTTTTTTTATAGTTTTTCATTTCTCGATGCGTCCTTAATGTGTCGGAATATACCGCGTTTACCCTATTTGCTGATTTCAAGTGGTAAATAAATTAATAGATGATTAAGTTGAGAAATGAATTTAGACTCATAAAAACTAATTCCGACACAACTTGAATTGAACACTCCCAGCTCGTTCCAAACTTCCAAGCTGTGTGCAAAAATTAAAATTTTCTTGATTAAAAGCTTAATAACTGTTAATTAAAAGCCTAATTAAGTAGTGCTCCAGGGCGCAGAAGATGGAAGCAGCGTTGCCAATATATGGGTTTTTAAGCCCAAAGCATCGCCAACCATTTATAAGATGCGTCGCCGGGTAATTTTTAATGAAAAGCCATTTATGCTGAGTAATGAAGAACTATTTACAAGCCACGAACTTATTTACAAGGTTGCATGCACGTGTTACCCCAAATAACTAATTTTACCCTAAAAACAGTCCGATTGTACAGCAAGTGTCAACTGAACATGTAATAAAGCAGTCTGACCGCTCTAATGTGACCGAAACTACGCAATCAAAAAAACATTGTTTACATTTTTTTGCGGGAACTCATCGCAACTGATTTCCCGACAAGCTTCGCTGCATCGTAATCCGTCCAACGTACCGGAAACCTTACTTTTTTTCTAAATAGTTGGCCAAAGACTGAGAAATATATTAAATGCAAGAATTTCAATCTAAATGTGTTGGCAAGATCTTCTGAAGGCGAAAATTTGGCTACTGAAGCGTCGCCAAAGATCTTGCAATATTCATCCACTCTCTGCACAGTGGGACTAGTGCTCAATATTCAATAGTGTTCTAATTCAAAGCCGTGTCATATTCCAATACAGCTCACACAGCAATCGGAATTCGAACACGTGGATGTTGGAATTACGTATCAGTACAATTTGAAGTGCGGTCGGAATACGTCTCACTACGTGCCGAATATAGTCACACACAGTGTCGGAATATGGAGATTTGGTAGGTTTGCATTCTAAAGGCTTTTAAATAAATATGGCAACATTTTGTGACGTTTCATCATTGCTGGTGCGTCGTGCGGTGTTTTGAGTTATGTAAAGCAAACAGAACTCGAGTAACGCATACGTTTTTTTTTTATAGTTTAATTAGTTTTTCATTTCTCGATGTGTCCTTAATGTGTCGGAATATACCGCATTTACCCTACACTAATACAGACACTGTCTGTGGCTTTGGGTCTTAGTCCTGATTTTCCAATTTTGAATGTGCCCTTGAAAACATTTTTTATTCTGTAAATTTTCAGACAATGGCCTGAGGGCTGAGCCCAACCATCACTGGGAAAGGTATTACTTGAGATTAAGTGCATCCAAAAAAAGGGTGTTGTTATTTTAATTATATGTTTTTTGGGGTGTAGCTTAAGAATCTGAAATCCGTTTTTGGCGGTCGGCATCGGAAAGTTTTAATGGAACCTGTTCCTAACTGGACCTAAGTCCCACTGTGCAGAGAGTGGATCATCATTGGATGAATATTGCAAGATCTTTGGCGATGCTTCAGTAGCAAAATTTACGCCTTCAGAAGATCTTGCTGACACATTTAGATAGTAATTCTTGCATTTAATATATTTGTCAGTCTTTGGCCAACTATTTAGAAAAATAGTAAGGTTTCCGGTACGTTGGATGGATCAGGATGCAGTAAAGCTTTTCCAGAAATTGGTTGCGATGAGTTCCCGCCAAAAAAATGTAAACAAAATGTAGTTGCGGTCACATTAGTGATCAGACTGCATCATCACATGTTCAGTTGACACTTGCTGTACAATCAGGCTGTTTTTAGGGTAAAATTAGTCATTTGGGGTAACACGTGCATGCAACCTTGTAAATAAGTTTGTGGCTTGTAAATAGTTTTTCATTACTCAGCATAAATGGCTTTTCATTAAAAATTACCCGGCGACGCATTTTGAAAATGGTCGGCGACGCTTTGGGCTTAAGAACCCATGTATAGTCAGATGGGGTAAGACAGGACCGAAATCACTAACAAGCATGTAGCATCTATACTTTGAATAACTAAAAAAACCTAAACCTATCAAAAGGTGTAGTTATGCAATGGACTTCTAAGCTACAACTCAGACGTTTTGCATCTAACATATTTTCTTGTACAGATTAAAAGAAGTGAGCTGGTCCCATCTTACCCCATTGGGGTAAGATGGGACCAGGCTGGGGTAAGAAAGGACCAACTGGTATATCTTATGTTACAAGGTTTTTATTAAAAGTACAAATCTGATATTCAATATTATCCATTATTTGATTAAACAACCACTTGTTACTGTTTTGTGTTGCTGGAAGTAAACTCTAATATCAGTCACATTGAAGTTTTTGTCACGAAAAAACTTTGTTAAGCATAGTACGGTAATAGTGGGTTGGCTTTGGTTCATTGTAGAGCACTGCTAAATGCTTCATGTATATTCCATTAGTGTCATCGTCTGAAAAATTTATCAAATTGGTAATAAAACCAATGGATGATAACTTAAGTGTCAGACATCATGCATTTTCTTGCTAACTGCATTTGTGGTGCACTTCTTCAAACCTAGCTCATGCCCTCTCACAGAGTTGTGATCATAATTATTTTTCATGTTTCACAGTGATTTTTCCCCCAGCCAATCTTGCACATAGTTCTGCAGCTCACTAATGGGAATAGACATCCCTATTTTCTATATCCCTTTCATGCAATTTAAAATAGTGCACTAAATTTCTCTAATTAAAAAAAACTAACAAGTTATAATGAAGTTTGAGAAAAAGATAAAAATTTTGACCAAAATACTCCATGTACTACACAATAATATATTCATTTAAAAACTATTTTTGATAAACTGTGGGGTAAGAGAGGAACATTTGTGGGGCAAGACAGGACCACTTGTGTGGTAAAACAGGATCATTTAGTGGTCCCATCTTACCTCATGTCTGGTCCTTTTTTACCCCATTTTAGAATAGATGTCAGGCAGTGATGGTAGCAGGTAGGAATGCCTAGTATGTCTAAAAAGTTGCCTATTACTTGAGGTTACCTGCCTACATCCACAAACCTGGCCAAAAAATTTTTTGTCATTAGACAGAGCTTATTCCCCAAACAGGGTTAACTATTTTGTGACCCTTCTTTACATAGGTTTTCTTTGAAAATTAGCCAGAAATTCATTATTTGCATAAGAGGGTTGCCACAAACACTGAAATGACAGGCAATGATTGTTCTAACATATTCTTTTGTCAAATTGAATTCAGTGCATTTAGAATGCATGCCATGGGCTGGTCCTTTCTTACCCCATAAAGGCTGCGATCCTGTCTTACCCCATTTGACTATATTGGTGACGCTGCTTCCATTTTCTGCACCCTGGGACCTAACCTGCGATGTTTTCGTTGATCGGCTAGGTTTTTTCTATGTTGGAGTCCGTCCGGCGGCCGGAAAAACTGAGCCAATAGGTTTTTTCTATGGCTGGTCCCTTCTTACTCCATGAAGGCTGCGATCCTGTCTTACCCCATTTGACTATATTGTTCTATGCAATTAATGGAGTGTAGTGACCACAAAATAAATCAAGCTTGGCTTAAATTGTGATATTTTTTCACAAAGATTTGACAAGATTTGTAAAAAATAGTACCTTCAATGGAAGGGTGCTTTTATGATTTTCTTAGTTTTGAAATATCATGTTTGGTTTTTTTAGTTTTGAAATATCCTGCAAAGATTAACAATGAAACTCAATTCTTTAAAATCTACAGGCTGGCCAGAATACAAGGTTCTAATGAAAAAAGCGCTTGTACTGAAAATAGATCTCTGAAAAGCTATAATATATCTTAACATGCAGGTTATGTTCAAGGAATTTGTCTCAGAAACCTGACACTTTTTTGTTTTAGAATCTGTTTGCTGACTAAGTAAGTAGGTATTTTAACAGGAAACGTTGTTCTAATTCAATTACTTTGTGCCAGCAAATATTGCTTCCAGTCCTTTTGTTTTTTGACATAGATTTACTCAACAATCAACATGATGTACTTTGTAACCTTAATCTTTTTCATGATATTACAATATGCATTAATTTATTGTACAAGCATTGGGCAATATTGCAAACTTTAACAATTGTTGAAAATATTGTTCACTTCTAGTCATTTCCCTCATTTTCTGGAAAATGCAAGTTGCTTGCTGTAGTCAAAGTTATCATTCTCACTGGTGTAACTGGTAAATATTGTGGCAATTCCTTTATATGTGTAGATGCAAAAAGAAGATTCTTATTTTCAATAATGGATTCATTTGTTGTGCAGGTGTACTTTGACATGTCCATTGGAGGTGTTCCCGCTGGTCGCATTGAAATAGGTCTCTTTGGAGGCACCGTGCCCAAGACAGTAGAAAACTTCCGGCAGCTCTGTCTAAAACCCAAGGGGGAAGGCTATGTTGGCTCTCAGTTCCATAGGATCATTAAGGACTTCATGCTGCAGGGTGGAGACTTTACCAAGGGAGATGGTACTGGAGGTGAGCAAGTCTGAACTTGACCCAATGAAGGGCAAGACACATAAATGTATAAATTGTAAGTGATCTATTTGTGCTTTTTAGGCTTATTGTGACTGCTGGAACCACTGCTTGTGATTGCTTACATACCATCCGTAAAGGTCCTCGTACTAAAGTACAAGAAGTGTAGGTAATTCATGCAAATAGCCAGAGTAAGGAATATTGCAAAATTTAATTTCAGGCTGATAAGGTATAGCTTAATTAAAGGACCAACTAACCTAGTTTGCTACCTATATGCTCTACGTCAAGTATACTGTAAGATATGTCTAGGTAAACACAATTTAAAGGCAATAAAAGTAAAATACTATATATTGTGACTAAAATATGCCATGAGACTTTCCTAATAAGTGTCATGTTATTCAGGAACCTTTTGTCCATTTCTCCTGGAATCACTACCGCGGAATATGCTTGCCAATCATTTTTTCAAGATTATGGAATTTTCTCTTGAAATTTTGATGCATTTCCTGAAAATTCTTCTTTACATTAACACTACAATACATAGGTAACTTTTCTTTTTCTTGATCTTTCCAGGAACATTGAATTGATCAGAATTGTGATCATCACCTTTAAGATATTTGAAGAGTCTCTTGCTCTATAATTCAATTATCTGCCACTAATACTCATCACGTACGCAGGCCGCAGCATCTACGGGGACAAGTTTGCTGATGAGAACTTCAAGCTGCAGCACTACGGGCCAGGCTGGCTCTCCATGGCTAACGCTGGCAAGGACACCAACGGCTCCCAGTTCTTCATCACTACCAAGAAGACGAGCTGGCTTGACGGCAGACATGTCGTCTTCGGCAAAGTTCTCAAGGGCATGGTTAGTTACAACTAGTCATCAGCTGTGTGTTGCGTCACCACAACCCTGCATCACTCATCTTCCTACGCAACCAATGCTACATCACTCATTTTCATTCCTAGTCACCACAAACAACCCTTCATCACTCATTTTCATTCCTAGTCACCACAAAACCACAACCAACCCTTCATCACTCATTTTCATTCCTAGTCACCACAACCAACCCTTCATCACTCATTTTCATTCCTAGTAACCACAATCAACCCTTCATCAATAATTTCAATCCTAGTCACCACAACCAACCAAAACTCAGAGCTATTGGTGATAAACCGTGGTTTTAATGCTCTTCTTTTTTGCTGTATACAAATGCAAAATTTTACTTTAAAGCGTGTCATTTTAATTAATGCTATTAACTACCAGACGGTGGTGCGTAAGATCGAGGGTGTGAAGACGGACGGGCGCGACAGACCAGTGAGCGGCAGCGACGTGGTCGTCGACGCGTGCGGCGAGATCGAAGTGACCGAGCCTTTCCACACTGAGGCTGAGGGCGTTTCTGATAACGTGTAATGTGACGTGCTGTGGTATAACGTAATCATCTCTGACACTACTAACATCTGGGTGGCGTGACGCCGTGTGTGGTGGCTCGTCCTCTGTGTGGTCTGTGGCTCGGAGATGTTTACCGTGTTATGCAGTGCGTTGAAGCAGTCCTAACAACGGCTGACTTTCTCGTTTTTCTAGTTTGTTTGGTGTTAGTGTAACTTGACGGGTCACCTTTTGAAGTCACGCACGTGTGCCCAGCACTGTTCCTTCTACTTGCATAGCTTGCCCCCCAGAGCTCAGCTCGGAACAACGATCGCCATACGTACGCAGGTTTACTGGTATCATTCCACTCCTCAGCGCACACCAAATTAGCTTAGAATCCTGCATAATTAAAAAGGATCTCAGGAAGTCTGGCATTATAGGGATGAAGTAGAATTGTATCCGAAATTAATTGGGTCTCATTTCTTACATTCTGCAAGTTTGGCAATTTATGCAGTAAAGGAGAAAGTACGAAAGATCGACCATAAATATAATTTTGGTTTCAAATTTTTTAGTGTTAACCGTAATGATCTTCACCTCCACGGATTGTCTGAGCCGTTGGAATATCTGAAGTGATTGAGGATAAGAATTAACATTAAATTTTTGTTATCGCACTGTATTAATGGTTTCTGAATCTGTCAACTGTAAACCTAGGGTATAAAACCATGCTAACCATTCCATAGTGGCAAGATGAATTTACTGTAATCTATTCTTTTCGTCTCTTTAATCGGTATTTTGAATACACGATATTTCATAATATTGTCAATATGAATAATCCCAATACATTATTTCTGTAGGATGTGTGAGACTTGCATAGTTCCAAGTATCTACATTTTCTCGAGGCTTTTTTTTTCGTTGACCGCAAGTCTCGGCTTGTCTAGGCGCCAAACATGTTCAAATTGAGCGATGTTTTTACTCTTCATCCGGAGTGATTCAATGGTTATCAACACTCCCGGTAGTGATAAGATTTCTTAATTGCATGACGGATAAGAACGTGATTATTTAGCATGTGGTTAATAACGCGAAAATATACGACCATGTTCCTTACTTCTCAACTTCAAATAAATAACTTGGGGCTTGCCTAATCATCTTGTCAGATTTCTGCAACGTGCGTAAGTAGGTTACGGCAAGTCTTCAAACTGATCATTAAAGATCACTTGATCAAATCTATCAAAATTTTGATGTTAAGCTACTCGAGTTGTGTAAGAGTTAAGATACTTTGGTTTTACAAGGCGCGAGTTGCATTTAGTCCAAACTTATATTTACCTCTGCACGACTATATCACATCTGCTTTTTAATGCGTGGATACCAAAGAAATGAACGCCTTAATTAAGCAGGGAGTCAGTTCTACTTGTTCTTTATTCTGAACGAGAGATCATTCTATCCTGGAGGCTGGATTCAATGACACGATCGAATTGAAGCAATGGCACTGTCACTCCAAATGGCAGTTATGAATCATAGTGTTTGTATAACAACAACCTGGTAACGATAGGAGTTATTTGGAAGGAAACAGCGCCAACGCTAAGCCGTATTAAATCATCAACCTAAGCAAGATAAGGAAACAGTCTTCACAACCCTTATCCACTCGATAAAACTGTTATACACATAGCGTAACTTTGCTCAACACGTCAAAGATAGTGAACTCGTTTCCTCCTGCTAGATGGTGCTGTGTCGTCCGTAATAATAATAATAATAGCGGTTTCAGCGTTATTAGGCGCCGTAGGCCTGTCGCCGATTCTTAACATCGCAGAACATTCACAGCATTTTGCGGTCTCGAACTCGCAACTCACTGCTACAATATCCTGCTGTGCTTAACCGCCCGGCCTCCTCGCCGATTCTGACCAGAAACTGGCGCACAGAGCTGGGATCGAACCCGCGCCTCTCTGCGCCAATCTTGGAACTCTGAACTTTAACCACTGGGCCACCCTAATTATCTATTCAAAGGCAACGATAGACATAATATTCATTGATTATTATTCCATTCCTGAATCAGTTTTCCCAATGAAAATGTCAATATTGATGATTTCATATATGCTCGCAGAAGAAACTAAATTTTCTGAATATAAAACAAATCGAACATGAAGCATTTAGAATTATGAAAAAACATTTGGCATTAATATATTCCATGAAAATACTATACGATTCTTGTTCTAAATTTTTTTACGTTATTGTGTTATTTGTTTTGTAATTAATATATGCTCCGTTGTACCAGAGCTTGGGCGAACTACTTCAAATGAACAATATGTAAAAAAATAATATATCATGAAAAAGAGTTTAATTTATCATTAATTATTGAATGTACAGGCATCAATAGTAGTTTATTTAAATATACAAGCGTGACGCAGCTTGGCGCTATGACGTCACGCGAGAGCTTACGTAAACATCCACCAGAGTGCAGCGTGCTGTTATCGCGCGTTGAAGTGTGTTATTAGTGCGCACGGCCACATCACAGATAAGGTTGGTCGACTCGACTTTATCGCAATAAATCCATAACATTCAGTTACTTCAAAAGTACACAGCCCCGCGATATGTAGAATGCCTCCAGGTAACTGGTCATTTGTTCGAATATAGCCTGGGTTGCCAAGTCTTCATTATTTTACTACATAGACAATGGAGATAATTACTGTGACTCTGAGACACATATCCTTAAATCTTCATTATATATTATGGTACGACTTTTTAGGGATATGACTGTAGGGCTTGTTTAAGTATGGTGAATTGAGATATACAAGTTCATCCTCTCCCTATTGTTCGTAGTATATAGGCGTTACGTGGGGCTTGAGTAAGATTCAGAAGGTTTGCTATGTTTATTGATGCTTTGATGGGATGAAGAATGACGGCACGACCAACACCTGTGGGGCGGTGTGGCACTGGCATTAGAATACAAACATGAACTTAGTGGAGTAACAATATCAAAAGAATATTAAACACAATTTAGTTATTACAGTTACATGAAATAATCAATTACATTAAAAGAATTTAATTCTAGTGAAGTACTTAGCAGCTCACCCCGTATAGTTGATGTTAACCCCACGGCCTCGTTTAGAAAATGATTCAATAGCTAGTGCGCGATTAGCAAATGGTTCTCCGCTGGCGTTCTTGAGAAATTTCACAATATTTCCTGGTACAATTTAACAAAATATTTTCGACATTTACTAAACTTCATCATTCCGTTATTACACGAGTGTTATTCGTACTCGAAAATTGATGATTAACTACTGTATATTTTATAATGTTTAAAGTGAAATTGATGAAATCCGAAATACGTAATCGAGATCAAGATAATTAAACAATATATTGTTATATAGGTCGATAATCACGTGTTTAAAGGATTAATACAATTAATTATGACATTCGAGAGAAATGCTAGTGCGAGATGTGAATTCGAGTCACTACAACTTCACGTCACTCGAATTGTTACCGTCTAGTAGCTTCGCACCCAACCATCCTCGAGATGATGGGTAGAAGCTTCAAAAATAGATAGCTTCTGCAGGCAAAGCTATACAAATATTACATACTTAATAAAAATGTGAATGTATATTTATTAGCCCAGACTGAGCACGCGCATGTCTCGGGCGATGACTTAACTAATCTATACCGCTGGCAGTCTCCAGCACGCCGTCATCAACAGTAAGCAAATTTTTTAACCATAATCATAACGAATATATGCATCGAGTATATGTAAGATATATCGCTTATATATGCTTAGCGTGGAACACTTCTTTTCTTTAATTTGGTACACGATTGCATTTGACATGGACCTATTTCTTCAGTGCCGACACTTCTATTCTATTCTATACATGCGGCTATCTGCCAGCTGTTCTGCGATGCCAGCAAGCAAATGGTGGAATTATTGAGAAATATTATCCGAGAAGAATATTATATTATAAAATATTATATGACGTTTCAGCTCACAGTGAGCAGGAATGCGGTATTAATATTTCCAAGTTCACATCTTTGATTCGTCAGAGGAACCGAACGATAATAATGTCACACGATTTCTCGAGTAGCTAATTAACTAGATATTTGAAGGCAAATAATATGCATCCACATTTTTTTATGATATGTGTAAATTTTAATTTAAATTAATATTTTAATCTAAATTTCAAAGTAATTCAAGTGATGTGAGCGTTTGGTGGCTGGTATGGAGCTTGGCTGTTTACATGAGTTATCCCAACAAGTTCGCTACGCGCAGCGTGCTTTGTATTCAGAGCTGATGGCACGTTAAGTCGACGGACCACATAACATGACTTTTCAAAATAAGATAAAATAACAGTTATGTGGGCACTGAAGAGTAGGCCTGATGTATCCTGTCGCCTATTCTGGAACGTTTCGTGACTTGTTCACAGATTTAAAGTGTCATTTGACCGGAACTCTTCATGACTGACGATAGTTTGAAATAGCTATAGCTATATACTATAGACTTCCACCGGGTTCGATATGGTGCTAGGCATTTCATGTCTGAACATATATTTATCCATAGCTTTATCTAGTCTGTTCTTGAACGCGTTCATACTCTGAGCGTCAACGATGTAATCAAGGAGGCTGTTCCACATGTCGGTGATTCCACATCACATGACTTTTCAACATGCAGCAGCAGCGCTTCCTCTCCCTTCCATGTATGAATTAACTAACTAGAATTAGGATTGAACCCTTACCCAAAAAGCGAGATGATCTTTCTCTTTTAATTTATTATCCGGTTGAATGTAATTTGATGAAAAATGGAAGATAAAGATCAAAATATAAAAAATCGGCACATATAAGAAGAGGTACAGGATTGTTCGCTGGTAGGATGGGATAAATGGATAAACTATGAGCCAACGGCGAGGCACACTTCTGTCTCATTACCTGATACAAAAATGGGTTCTAGTAGACATTATTCATCAAAAATATTTATATAGAAAAATCTTTTAGTAAATATATAAAATAAAATGCCAGTACTGATAGTAATAGTAATAGAAATAATAAAAAATGGGTTCTAGTAGACATTATTAATTAGGAATATTTATATAGAAAAATATTCAAGTTAACTGTTTACTGAGAATAAAACATTGCTTACGATAGCTACATAGAAAAGTAAATTTACCCGAATCATCAACACTGATCAACTTAATATTTTAACTTGAACCAACTACGCAGTTGGTCTGGAATTACACGTGTAACAAGTGCGCTTAAGCTTACGTGTAACAGGTGTGCTGCTGGTCCGACTGTACTGCGCACTCGCCTCACCGCCGCGCTCTAGTTTTTTCAAAGCTGTAATGGAGCCAGCGTAGAGAGTTGCAACGTTAATACTAACATGAATTGTCTTCTTTGCGTGATTATAATCGCTTCTTATATTTTTAATGAGTATTTTTTTGCGTACGTGAGGCATTTGATGCATTTTAACGATACGCGAAAACTTGTACTGTCAAACCTGTATTAATATCTTAATGTTCGTGTCTAATTATGTTGTGCAGTACGAATTGTGAAAACATTATACGTGTTTATCTGTTCACTGTTCTTGTTTGTTTTCCTGTTCACTGTTCCTGTTTGTTTTCCTGTTTACTGTTCCTGTTCATTATACTGTTTGCTTTCCTGTTCAGTGTTTTGCTTGTTTTATTGTTCCCTGTTCCTGTTTGTTTTTCTGTTCACTGTTCCGTTCGCTTTCCTGTTCACTGTTCTGTTTGTTTTTCTGTTCACTGTTCCTGTTTTTTCCTGTTCATTGTAACTCATCTGTTCCTGTTCACTTCATCTGTTCCTGTTCACTTCATCTGTTCC